GAAACATCGCCACCAGCCGCGCTGAGACCCACAGGGACGCAGGCAGCTAAAGCAGCTCCCGGGCTGGGTGAAGGGCAGTCACCATGGACAGGAAATGCAGTCACATCCCAAACCCCGACCCCTTCCACAAACGGTGAGGAGCAACCTATTGGCAATTCAGTTATTACCCAGTAGGTGTGTTTTCAAAATGTACAATTACTCCCAGACATTAAAACTTTAAAGTACAAATACTTACTGTAATTTTTATAGCTTTGTTCAACACATTGACCCATTCTACTAGGTCCTGCTGATCATTAGCTTGTAGGAAATATTTCCTCATCCCTGCGTTCATAACTGTTGAGAGAAAAAATAAACTACAATACATGAAATTCTGCACTTGTTACCTCCAAGTTTATGTTTGTAGCAGATGAAACACCATGCTAGGTTCAATACTGTGACCATATGTAGCACTGCTATATCACTCAATAACAAGGGTAAAATTCTTATTTTTAATGGCCACGTCTTTCATTAAACAAAAATACAATATATTCGACCCACCCCCTAATGATGGACATGTAGGCTATTCCAATTTTTGAAATTATATAAACTATCCCAATAAAACATACATTTCACATACATACATTTCTCCTTAGGCTAGCGTTTCTATAGGATAAGTTTCTGAACGTAAACACGTTGGAGCAAAGGGAATTCATATTAAAAATTCTTACAGATGTTGGCAAGTCGTCTTCCCAAAAGGCCGACTCCCTTTACGTCCCCGCCAAGGGCACGCAGAGACCCTCCCACCGAAGGCTCCTCCCGGCCACTGCCCACCTGTGGGGAGGCCCCGCTCTCAGCTCCTCGGCCGGGACACTGGGCCGGGACCTGCACAGCGTTTCCTAGACGTCCCGAGGCTCAGGCATGCTCCGCCCACAGGAGTCCTGACGGGAGAGTGAGGAGACGGACTCCCCAGCAGCCGCAGCAGCACAGCCAGCTGGTCGGTTCCATGTCCACCTCCAGCTCCACGGTGGCCCCTCCGCCAAAGGCCCTGGGGATCCCGCCTCTCCCGGGATGTCTCCCCAGCCAGGGGGCGGCAGCCGCTCCCCCCACTTTCTACTTCGTGGGTCACTCAAGCATCAGTGGAGACGAAAGCCTCCGAGGTGCTCTCAACAGCGACATCGCACCCACTCAGACCCTGCTTCTCACTGGAGGCACGTGACTGCGTCAGACGCTTTCCCTCACTCCTGTCCCAGCACCACCTGCCTCTCCAGCAGGACAGAGGGCTCACCGCCAGCCCTGCCCCGTGTGCCGTTACTCTGGTGAGGACAGCACCTCCTGATGACAGCTGCCATCCTACTCAGGCCCCTCCTGTCACGGACACGCTGAGGGCACCAAGCGCCCACTGTTCCCACGGATCCCAGCGTCTCCACTCTCCACCTGCCAGCTCCGCCCAGGCCGTCACCAGAACATCCCCCTGCTGGTCTCCACCATTTCCCACTCCCCGACCTGATCGCTCTCCGTGATCCTCACCTCTTTGCCTGAAGCAAAGCGACCCGACACCTCTCCCCCGCACCCCACCTGTGCAGCCCCCCAGGCCCTGTACTCCCCTAATGTTTCTCACCCTTCCTCTCCCCGCTGTCACCACCCTCATCCAGGCCCATCTGTAAGGTAACAGTTTGAAAGCTACTTAACTCATCTACCAACACCAAAACTCTTATTCATACAAAAAAAATTTTTTTAAATCTACCTTCGCCTTATGCCTACTCTCCAGATGCTGATTTCTTACCTATCGTTTAAAAATAACCACTTGTTGTGCTCGTTTCGGCAGCACATATACTAAAAATAACCACCTGTCAACAATATATTAGGCCCGACTCCTGCCCACGTGCTCACCTCAGTCTCTCCCCTCCCTCCAGTTTCACAAGCGCTCCCCCCCCCCGCGGCCCACCCCCTGC